AGTTAGTTCCCCCCAGTGTCAGAATGTCCGCCACAGTCCTGCTAAAAGTTACTCATTGCCGCCATTACTAGTAGAAAAAAAATCCCAGTATCTATACCGCCATTTGTAAATGCTTTACCTTTCACGTAAACCAATTAGATTACACATATTGGGATTTTTTTTAGCAAAGACATGTCACAGAATACAGTTTGGTCTAAATTTATGATGAAATTTGATTTATTAAATTTTTTTACTGGACATGTTAATAGCAAAAAGTCCAACATATTGTTTTTTTCTCTAAGTTGTCGGTCTTTTTTTTTATAGCAAAAAAAAAAAAAAAACACACAGGTGATCAAATGCCACCAAAAGAAAGCTCAATTTTTGGGAAAAAGGGGCATAAATTTCATTTGGGTGCAGCGTTGCATGATCGTGCAGTTGGCAGTTAAAGTAACGCAGCACCGTAACAGAAAAAATGGCCTGGTAAGGAAGGGGGGTAAATCCTCAGGAGGGTAAGTGGTTAAATCATAAACAACCATAAACATTTAGTCCCATCCTTCCAATGACATCACTTCCAGACCCATGGAGCCCAGACAGTGGGCACACTTCTATATACGGTTTCTATTTTGATGAATATAATTTTGTAATAAAAAGCAATGTTACACTATGGTAGTTTCCCCTTTTGTCCCCGTATCATATCCCTGAGAGATCCAAGCCACCAGGAGGACTGCTTCCACTACTGAGACAGGAATAGGGAGAGAGTAACAGCGGGAGTGGAGAAGAGGCTGATAACCACTGCCAATATCCGGGTGGATGAAATCCACAAGTGTATTCTGACTTTTATGCTGAAAGGCATGAGATCAGTGCTTTCTAGTGAGTGTTGGGAGCACAGGATTTGCCTGAAGCACAGAAAAGTCAAATCGTATAAGATTGCACTAGAACACTGTTATTGCAAGAGTACTTTATATTGGATGGATGGGACTTTCTATATATGTATTTAGGACTGTTGGGTTAACTTTCATGCTTTATGATTTAAAGTCACTTTATTGAGATATTATCTAGACAGTGCTGTGTATGAATTAGTACTGGAATTAATTTTGAGGGGAACCCCACAGCAAAATAAAAAAATAATTAAAAAATGGCAGGCCAAGAAGGGGAGGGGCTGTCTTCCTGAATCATACCAGGCCACATGCCTGTGTTTTTTGTTTTTTTTTTTAAATAAAGGCCTTGTCAAAGACTGTTTTTGGGTGAATGAGTAGGGGTAGTATGTACCCCTACTCATTCACATGAGGGTGGTATCTTATGCAGATTCTGCCCACATACCACCTCAGCCACCACCCAGGGTTGTGAGGAAGAGGCCCTTGTTCCCTTAAACATGGGGACAAGGTGCTTTGGAGGGGAGTCTCCTCCCCCAAAGCACCCCCCAATGTTGAGGGCATGTGGCCTGGTATGGTTCAGGAGGGGGATGCTCGGTCGCCCCCCTCTGGCTGCCTGGTCTGCATGCTTGATTAAGGCTTTGGTATGGATTTTGGGGGACCCTACACCATTTTTTTTTCAATCTAGGTGTGGGGTTCCCCTTAAAATCCATACCAGACCTAAGAGTCTGGTATGGATTTTGGGGGGACCCATGCCATTTTTTTAAATTTTGGCTTGGGGTTACCTTCAAAATCCATACCAGACCTAAAGGGCCTGGTATGGATTCGGGGGAAGACCTCCATACTGTTTTCTTTTTTTTTTTTTAACCACCACTTCTTTTGTTTACTTTTTGCTGACAGTGGGGAACCCTGCTGACAGCAGATGAGTCATGCTTGTGAAGCATGCAGCGGTTGCCCGTTCCTTAACAACCAGGCTTTTCTGAATGAAACAAACTGAATACCAAAGATACAAAACAAATTCTGAAAACGAATAGGGTCCATTAGCGAATGTATTCAAAACAAATTCTTTAATTAATTAATGCATTTGAAAAAAAAGCAAAACTAAATTTTCTGGTATGCACATGCCTAGTAAATGTGCCTTGAAGGTATCTTATCCATCCCTAAATGTACAGGGACACTCCAGAAGCCCAGACCTACTCAATGGCAACTAAAGTTTTCTGATGTGTAGCTGCACAAATGCAACAGAAAGTCCCAAAGTGCAGATAAATTGTGCTAGTCTTCAAAGCTATCCCTGAATTTCAGTGGAACAGCTTAGATCCCAGGCCATGGGTACTATTCTCAAAGCCTAGATTAAGGCCCATCTCCTCCTGGTTCACAGTTCTATTCTGTCATTCAACTGTCAAAAGCCAGAATTCCAGCAGACAGCCATGGCTCTGACAGATGAATTACAGTTAGTTAGTTCTGGAAGGGTGTGATGGCTTACATTTGGTGTGAAGAGAAGTTAAGCCTCTTTCTACCTCCAGGACATAGGTTCTCAAGAACTCTACAGAGATCACTTTGAAGACAGGTGCTTGTGGGCACCTCAAGGTTCCAGCACTTCAGTGCTGTTATCTTATTATATACAGACCGTTTGACACACAACTGTCTGAATATAAAACTGACAGCACAGGACAGTACAACTGCTTGACTACAATAATAAAATGCCTATAACACGACAGAAAGGTCAATCAGTGTGACAATCCTTCATGATCCAGTTAAGATTTTCTTGTAGGTAGAAAAGTAGAAGCAAATGGTTGGTAAGGTCAGTGCCTTGTTTTAGAACATGGTGAACAGTGCCTTGTTTTAGAACATGGTGAACAGTGCCTTGTTTTAGAGCAGTTAATATAGGCTGTATTGCACACTGTTACTAGTTTGAATTTTTGCATATTCTGTATACTGCATTGATTTTTATGTTTCTTCACCTAGAGTTTGTTGCTCATCTGGCTTTATAAAATCCTGCAGCTTACTTAATAGTAATAAAAATAAGGTTGTTGATTACATCAACATAGGTAGCTTTCGTGAAAGAGTGAATGTGGCTGAAATAATTACATTCATAATCGTGGACACAACACATTTGTATCACGCACATATTTCAGCAATTCAACAATGGAAGCTCTTTACAATAGGAAACATAATGATTTTTTTAATTGTATACTGTTTGCGGTATTTTTCATAAACTGCAAACACCTTGACTTTTGTACCACAGCCACCGCCCTTGATAATTTGAAAGTAATATGAAGTTAATGAAACCAATTCGGGTCATGGTCTCAGAGGACTGTGACAATTATGCAGCAATTATAGCCATCTTCATTCACGTACACAAAGTCATAATTGGCTCCTGTATTCATTATAAGTGTCACTGGGGACATAGATCTATAGTATCTGTGTATGACTATACAGCCTTGTAACAAATTAAGAGATTGTTATTTTTTTCTGTTTAAATTCTCATAAATTAATTAGGATTTTAAAATTTATAAACATCATCTGTCATCTGTCAAGTCACAAGCAAGACGAGATCACTAAAGCTTCCATGTCACTGCCAATTGCTCTACAAAAAAAAGTCATTTTTTATTTCAAGCCGTTCTTTAATATAACATCTTTCAGCGGCTGTGTAAAATGTAATAAGTTGGTTTGTAGGTTTAGAACATAATATTCTTTGACAGACAATTTTAATGCTTACATCTGGCAGTTTTATTGACACATAGCGACAGAACGGAATTCTAAAAATGATACAGTGGATTACAATGTGTGTCAACCCCTTTGCCTGCTTCTAAATCTCTAAATCTAGCTATTTCTCTTCACCTGTCTTTCAGGAGCGATGTTAGTCTTTGATTTGAATAGGGCAGAATCTTTCAGCCATAGTTTTCACAGCACATTATATGGGTAGTGTGCATAATAGGTTTATTTTTTTCCTGGTCTCACCTTCCTTTTTCACTTCTGACTTGTTCAAGGCTGTAATGTATATCGGAGTTATGATAAATGTTGGTAAAACTATGACAGCTCTTTAAAAAAAATGGTATTTCAGTGACCCTTATTAAAATGAAAAATGACAGTAATTTTCATATAGGCAAAATGTCTTAACATGTCTCAAAGTCTTAACATCTGAAGAATTCTCTGTAATGTAAAATTAGAGTTTTAGTCAATGTATCTTGCCTGCCAATAAAAATAGAATTTCTGTTTTGTCACATTTCCAATACAGATATCCCTGTCAGACAGTACAGCTTGGTTCTGTCTACTTTTTTCTACTGCAGTTAAAGTGATTGTAAAGACACACTTTTTTATTTATTTATTTTTAAATCACAAACATGTTTTCTTGCTCTTTGCAACAGTTTTGCACAGAGCAGCCCAAATCCTCTTCTCTGGTCCTCTGCTAGCACAGCTAGCTCCTCTGCCCCACCAAGTGCCCCCATAGCAAGCCACTTGCTATGGGTCTGCTTGTGAGTGCTTGCTTCTGAGACAGCTGTGTGACCAAAGAGTGTAGCTCTGCCTTGCCACTTCCCTCTTCACTGGCTGTGATTGACAGCAGCAGGAGCCAATGGCTTTCATAGCTGTCTCTGAGCCAAGGAGGAAGGGTGAGAGCTGATAGACACTGCTCTCATGCACACTGCTGGATTGAGATTGGGCTCAGGTAAGTATAAGGGGGGGCTGGATGCAGAAAGGTTCATTGCCCTAATCCATTCTCACCTGAGCAAGTTCTTCTTTGGGAAGCCAGCTGTGAATTCGCAAGGGTTCCCACTGCACATGTGCAAGCTGCACTGCACTTTGTGAATGGACCTGCAGCCTTCTGGGACCTGTAAATCAGAATTTGGCCAATCCAGTAGGGACCAGAGGATTTTCAATAAGTGTATGGCCCACACTGTTTGACAGAATTTGATGGTTAGATCTATTTCTGTCGAGCAGACACGTTGATTGGCAACTGTAGTCACTGATTAGTGTCCAGGTCCCACTGTTAGAATACAATGTCATGGTGGGAAGGGGTGTGGGGTGTGTGGGAGATTCTGCCATCCATCTGGTTTGTGTGTACAGAGACTGCACACCTCTGCAAGGACCTGCTGCTGCTGAGTGCAGCTACCCATTGGGATGAATGGAAAGAGACAGCTCTACACAGTTGTGAGCTGAGGTGCACTTAAAGCACCTGCATTGAATCTAAAGATTCAACATAGTTATAGACAGGGGCAGACTGACAACTCATGGAGCCCCCGAGCAATAGGAGATCATGGTTCCCCTGTGTCCTCATCCACATTTAAGCCACACCCACACAACTCCCAAAATACATATTGCAGTTCAGCTGCATAGACAGGGCATTTAAATATCTACTTCAGCAAAGCCTGCATGAATGTTCCTGGTTTATTTCTGTAGCAGCCTCTGGGCACTTCTACATTTAAAGATGGATGCTATGGGGGGGATTGAGAGAGACAGAGGGGGGGTGAGAATGAGAGGAGTGAGAGAAAGAGGGGAGTGAAAAAGAGAGACGGGAGTGAGAAAGAGATAGGAGAGGGTTGGGGGGTGAGAGAGAGGGAAGAAGGAGCGAGAAAAAGAGGAGGTGGTGAGAGGGTGGGTGAGAGAGGAGGGGGTGAGAGGGAGAGAGAGGGGGGGGGGTGAAAGAGGGGGAGGAGGGTGAGAGAGTGTGGGGTGAGAGGTAGTGGATCATGAAGGAGGGGGTAAGAGAGAGGGAGGGAGGTGAGAGAGGAGGGAGTGGGAGAGGGGAGGTGAGGAGGGGTGGTAAGATAGAGCAAGGGCAGTTAGAGAGAGCTAGGGGGGAAGAGGAGGAGAGATAAAGGGGAGATGACAGAGGAAGGGCAGTGAAAGGGGGGGTGAGAGAGAAGGGGAGAGAATGTGGGAGGGTGAGAGTGAGGGGGTGAGAGAGAAAGAAAAGGGGTGAGAGAGAGGGGGTGAGTGGAGAGTGGGATAGAGGGGGCGGGAGGAGAGAGAGGGGGTGAGAGAGGGGAGTAGGTGTGAGAGGCGGAGAGAGAAAAAGAGAAAGTGGGGGAGTGAAAGGGAGGGAGGTGAGAGAGAGTGGGGGGTGAGAGAAAGGGAGGGGGTGAGATACAGGGAGAGAGAAAGGTGAGAGAGAGAGGGATGGGGGTGAGAGAGAGGGAGGGGAGAGAGTGGGAGTGAGAGGGAGGGGACTGAGAGGGGGAGTGAGAGAGAGAGGGGGATTCCCTATCCCCCCATACTACACCAGTCTCCCCCCATCCCTCCAAAATTACATTGCATGAACACCCCATCCCTACATTAAATGTTATACTGTAGTCTGTACATTCCTATTAGCAGGGTGAAGGGATCCCTGATCATCAGCCATGGTGAAGGAGTCAGTGTCAGTCAGTGTACCAATAATATTATGGACTCCTCTCAGCTTCGCGCTGCCCATTGGCTCCATCATCAGCAGTGTGCAGCAAGGCAATACCACTGCCCGGGACCCCGACGTACTCTGCTACTACGTGAAGTGAAAGGTGAGCTACTTCTGGAATCTGAAGCTACACCGCTGCCTTCTCATGTTCCCCACACTGTCACCGGAAGTCCTCTGATCATTGGGTACACGTTTCTCCCACCTCCTCATCCACACCCATCATGCCAGGTCCTGCTCAAAGCCACATTCCTGTCTGATTAATGTGTCTGTTTGTGTTTGTACGGATCAATATAATGGTCATGAACAGAACTATACTAGTGCCCCCTTTGTATAGTGTCCCCAAAAATGCAATGTTAGCAGGATCAGCACTAGCTTTTAGCCGCTCCGCTGTTTTTCATGGAAGATTTGTACCAATTGATTGTGAACCAAAGTAATTTAAATGCACAACAATACATGCTCACCCACTCAAATTCAGCTCTTGCCAGACAATTTGCATAGAAACCTGTCATGGTTTCTGAATTTAAAACTTTTTTGTGCCTAACCCTCAATATGGGCATTACAAAAAAGAATGAATTGTAGTCATATTGGTCTACAGACCTGAATCGGCATATGCCCATGTTATCTGCTGTTACATATATGCCCAACATGGAACAGCAATGTACTGGTACATCGCTGGACTTTGAGTGGTTATACGGGGATCATGCCTGCAGCTACAGGCATCATCCTGGTATTGTTTTTTTCAGCTGGCAGTCTGCGTTCTTGTAAAAGCAATCCTAGTGGCCAATTAGCCACTAGACAATTTTACAAGCAGCAGGAAGGGACAACTCTTCCCCCCTCCTGCCGCCTTCCAGTTTTCTGTCCCGCTCCACAGGGAAATCTGGGAATGCAGTTCTGCTGGCTGAACTTAGAGCTGCTCAGAGACCAGAATGGCTCTAATAATCTCTATGGTCTAAGAGACTAGAAGCTATGAGCATTTTATCATTTCAGTTTCGCCAGATATAAACAGTGCCATATTTAAATTGGGAAAGCATCTGTTCACACTGATCTTGGTGTGATCAGTTGCTTTAAAGGCAGAGGCGACATCTAGAGTCTAATAGACCTCAGATTTCTCAGAAAAGAATACCTGTCACTGCCTATTGCTGTCACAGGGGATATTTACATTCCCTGTGATAACAATAAAAGTGATAAAAAAAAGGGACAGTGTAAAAAAAAAAATATATATATATATATAAAAAAGAAAGACCCCTGCCCCTTCCCCCTTCCCCTTTCCCATGCTTGTGCGCAAAGGCAAACCCAAGTGTTGGTCCTGTGTTAGGTCAGTATGTAAACAGAGATTACACCATGCATGTGAGGTATCACCGTGAACATCAGATCGAGGGCAGTAATTCTAGCACTAGACTTCCTGTGTAAATTTAAATTGTTGACCTGTAAAGGCTTTTAAAGCATCGCCTGTCGATCTTAAAAATGTATTATTGTTATACAGGATTTATATAGTGCCAACAGTTTGCGCAGCGCTTTACAATATAAATGTACGTACTTTGTCGCCATTGCACGGGCATGTGCAATTTTAAAGCATGTCATGTTTGTTATCCATTTACTTAGTGTAACATCATCTTTTATATTTTATCAAACAATTGGGCAATATATTGTGTTTTTGTGCATTTAAATTGTAAAAAGTTATTTTTCCCAAAAGATTTGTATTTGAAAAATCGCTGCGCAAATACTGTGTGACATAAAAAATTTCAACATCCACCATTTTATTCTCTAGGGCCTCTGCGTTTAAAAAAATATATAATGTTTGGGGGTTTATAGCAATTTTCTTTTCTTTTTTTCTTTTCAAAACCCTGTGACAAAAATGATATCAGTAAAATACTCACCATGCCTCTTATCAAATTCCTTGGGATGTTAACTTTCCAAAAAGGGGTCATTTGGGGTATGTTTGTACTATCCTGGCATTTTAGGGCCTCCAAAACTGTGATAGGTAGTGAGGAAGCGATATGAGGAAATATGCCCTTTGAAAGCCTGGAGGTGATCATTGGATTTTGGGAGCCTGTGTGTAGTTAGGCTGCCAAAAAGTCTCTCACATGTGGTATCCCCATACTCGGGAGAAGTAGCAGAATGTGTTTTGGAGTGTTATTCCACATATACCCATGGCATACATGAGCAATATATCATTTAAGTGACAACTTTATGTAAAAAAAAAATTGTCATTTTGAGAAAATTTGTGCCAAAAAATAAAATGTTCCATGGACTCAATATGCCTCTCTGCAAAATCCTTGGGGGGACTACTTTGCAAAAAGGGGTCATTTGGGGGCTTTTGTACTGCCATGGCATTTTAGCACCTCAAGAAACATGATAGGCAGTCAGAAAGTAAGAGCTGTGTAAATTCCAATATATATACCATAGCTTATAGACGCTATAACTTCCACACAAAGCAATTAATATACATGTACATATAAGCAAAAGTGAAAAATATTGTTTTTTTTTTTTCAAAATGTTAGGTGTTTTTGTTTATAGCACAAAAATTAAAAACCGCAGAGGTTATCAAATACCATCAAAAGAAAGCTCTATTTGTGTGAAAAAGAGGACATAAATTTCATGATGGTACAGCATTGCACTACCGTGCAATTACCAGTTGAAACAGCGCAGTGCCAAACAGCAAAAAAATGGCCTGGTAATGAAAGGGGGTAAATCTTCTGAAGGGCATTTCATTATTAATTATTGTATCTCAAATATAAATTGATAGCATCTAGCTATGTTGAAAACTAAGCCTAGGTGTTCTATACAGACAGTTAACGTAGTCCTTAGCAACTTTCTTATAAGTCTTTTACACACACTTTAGACACTTTCTTTGAATTATTGTGCACCCCCCCCCCTCCTAACTGCTGCTATGAGAAAAAAAAAATCCAAATGCCCATTTTGCTTACTTAAAACCATGGTCACATGACAGCCGGCCTGATCCCGCTGCCTCCTTTCTCATAGGCTCCAGAGGCAGGAGAACTCACAGGGGGTGGTGAGGGGACCAGTGCCCAAGATGAGGGGAAAATAAAAGGGGAAAATACTTGGTTCTTAGGACAGATCATTAGCTTGGTTCATATGGGAAACTGACTTTGATCCATTATACTGCAGGATGACTTAAGAAGAGTTATTTGAAATCAATACTGAGAAGTAAGCTAATTATTGCAAAACGAACTACTTAAATTTTAATTTTTGCCTGGAGGCAGACTTAAAAGCAATTATGCAAGACAAAGCAACATTTTTACATTAATGACTCCCCTTCCACAGAGGACAAAGAAAAAATATCTAAAGCTGGCCATACATGGGCCGAATTCCGAAAAATAATTCTTTTGAAAATCTTTTCTAAGAAATTTAATTCGAATTTTCCACCATTAGTGGGCCACAGCAATGGCCAATTTTCGAGCGACCGTTGAATTTGAGTGATCTGGCATGTTGAAGATTATTTTTGAAAAATGAACAGATTTCTAATCAATGATGGGAAAATAGTGCGATAAATATAATCGAAAAAGAAATGAGCATCAGCTGTGACCTGGAAAGAAAAGAAAATTCTTGGCAATTACATCTTTTCTGTAGCAACATGAAGTGAAATTGAAGGCTTGGTCGAATTTCAAAATCAATGGTTGCACCATAGGATTACAAAATGCAAGAAATTTCCAATTTTCTAAAGAAAATTCATTCTGAATTTGACCCATGTATGGCCTGCATAATTGTGAGTAGAGAGAGGAGTATGTGTGCTTTTTTATCATATGACAGTGCTAGTGCTTAGTGATTGGTCCAGTGCTGTAACTAGGGGAAGGGGAAGGCAGTCCTGTGTAAGCTCTTACTAGATCAACTCAAAACTTCCACATGGCTTTTTTCTAGGCTCCTGGCAGTTGCAAAGTTTAAGGCTAGGTTCACATATGTGCGGGTGGTGCCGCTGCGGATCCGCACAAAAATCCGTGCAGCCGACCACCCACACAGAAAAATGCAATCCCGTGGGCAGGTACCTTTAACTCTAATGGCACACCACCCACACTGGAAATCGCAACCGCACAGGGATCTGAGGTTCCCGTGCGGGCTGAAGTTTCCAAAGAAGTGCCCCAGGGCATGGGAGTCCATTCAAATGAATGGGCTCTCGTACCCATGCAAAACGCGGCCCACACGGCCACATATACAGTTGTGTTCAAAATAATAGCAGTCAGACATCACTAACCTGATCAATCACTGTTTTTGGTAGAAATGATATTTCTACATGGCAAATCATTTACTAGCAGGTGTAGTAGAGTAATAGAAATCCAACAGACCCAACAGTCATGACATGCATGCTGCTGATTCTGTGTAATTGAATCACTAATTGAAAGGGGCATGTTCAAAATAATAGCAGTGTGGAGTTCTATTAGTGAGATCATTCATTCTTTGAAAAACAGGTGGCAATTATTGCCCTTATTTAAGGAAGGAAGGCAGCAAATGTTGTACATGCTGGTTACAGTGCATTTCTCTCTGAAATTCTGAGGAAATGGGTCGTTCCAGACATTGTTCAGAAGAACAACATACCTTGATTAAAAAGTTGATTGGAGAGGGGAAAACATATAAAGAAGTCCAGAAAATGATAGGCTGCTCAGCTAAAATGATCGCAAATGCTTTAAAATGGCAAACAAAACCTGAAAGATGTGGAATAAAGTGAAAAACTACCATTCGAATGGATAGAAGAATAGCCAAAATGGCAAGAACTCAGCCAACAATCAGCTCCAGGAAGATCACAGAAGGTCTAAAGTTACCTGTGAGTACTGTTACAATTAGAAGATGCCTATGTGAAGCCAAGCTATCTGCAAGAAGCCCCCGCAAAGTCCCACTGTTGAAAAAAAGACGTGCTGAAGAGGTTACAATTTGCCAAAGAGCACATTGACTGGCCTAAAGAGAAATGGTGCAACATTTTGTGGACTGATGCAAGTAAGATTGTTCTTTTTGGGTCTAGTGGCCGGAGACAGTTTGTCAGACGACCCCCAAACACTGAATTCAAGCCACAGTACACTGTGAAGACAGTGAAGCATGGTTGCGCAAGCATCATGATATGGGGATGTTTCTCATACTACGGTGTTGGGCCTATTTATCGCATACCAGGGATCATTTATCAGTTTGAATACATGAGAATACTTGAAGAGATCATGCTGCCTTATGTTGAAGAGGACATGCCCTTGAAATGGGTGTTCCAACAAGACAACGACCCCAAACACACCAGTAAACGTGCAACATCTTGGTTCCAGACCAACAAGATTGATGTTATGGAGTGGCCAGCCCAATCCCCAAATCTTAATCCAATAGAAAACTTGTGGGGTGACATCAAAAATGCAGTTTCTGAGGCAAAACCAAGAAATAGAGAACTGTGGAATGTAGTCCAATCATCCTGGGCTGGAATACCTGTTCACAGGTGCCAGAAGTTGGTTGACTCCATGCAACACAGATGTACAGCAGTTCTCAGAAACCGGTTATACAACTAAATATTAATTAAGTGATTCAAAGGAAAGCAAAATCTTCAAACATTTTTCAGTTTATATAGTGAATGTTTGAGTTTGTAAAGAAGAATACAAACACTGCTATTTTTTTGAACAATCTAATATTCACTTTTCTTCAATTTTTTTTAGAGGAACAACACAAATTTGATATATTTTTCTTCATGTTTTGATTTGGAATAGAATGTGTAGTGTTCCCAATGCATTTGTGTGTATGGAAATAAAAGCTATTAGAAGGATTTTGAGCTTTATTCACTTTTTTCAACACACTGCTATTATTTTGGACACAACTGTATGTGAACCAGGACTGAGTATTTGCTGCTGGGAGTGGCCGGAGGACATTAAAACACACCTGTTACTATGCTCTGTGAATATATTATTGTAAATACTGTTTCTTTTTAAATGTTTGTAAACTTGCTATAATTTCTTGCTGCCATTGGTTAAATTTCTTCGAAGAATATCAAAAACTTTGGGCTTGACTTGCTACTCCTCGTCTGTCTAGTCACTTCTATGTGTTATCCTACTGGCTGTCCGGCGTTTAGAAAAGCTGAGAGACTCAGGGGAGGCTAGTACTTCAAAAGGGAGCAATTCAAGCAAGAAGCTAGCTGTGCTTTCTACCTAATGTCTGCTTTACACATCAGAACTGAAGATAGAGCCGAAAGATGGTAATATGCTGTAAAAAAAAAATCAGATAAGAGAAAAAGGTTATATATGAGAGAGAAGAGAATAGCATTCATTTAGGTGATACAATACAGAAATCCAAAGCCACAGTAAAAAAAAGAGCTTGCACTGGAGTAAACATATATTTAATTTAACAAAGGGTAAACCAGAAGATTTGAACCAGTAAAAGCAGGGCTTTCTGAATCCAAGGCTGTTAAACTGCTTATTATGTGTTATATTAAGCTGCATAAACTTCACACACAGACAACATTCTCTGAATTTAAACAAGCATGACCATATGCTCTCTGAATATGTTGACAAATGAAACGAAATAGGAAATTTCCCCTGTGGGCATAAGAATGCTACTGTGACTATGCATGAATGGGAATTGTATAGCATCTTCTAAATTCTCTAACAAGCAACATGGTTTCCCAGCTAATCAAACATACACAGAATTTGTAGAAAGAGCTTAATTTAACACATAGTAAGTTCAATGTTATCCCAACAGCCAGCATATAAACCAAGTTCATTCTAGCCGTAAGTGATGTCAGAATAGCTCTAAGTGTAGTAAATGGTGCCATGCCAATATAAAAATATTCTGTACATAAGAGTGCTTTTATATAATGAGCATGATATGCAGTGTATTTTACTGTATGGCATATGCCACCAATTTCATTATTGGTGATGCTCAATAGGGGCTGTAAATAATCCCATTGCTTTGTACAGATTTACTTTAACATGTAAAGCTAGGTATATTCTTTTTACTAAATCAGCAGGTTGAATGAAAAAAAAAACTGACATCCCCACATCAACACAACAATGCGTGATGTGGGGGTCTCTCCCACTGCTATTGCATGCTAACTGGGTGGGACCTATCCTGGCCTGCCAGAATACACTGGCACTGATCAAATGTTGGTTTTCGAGCAAGAATGTTCGACAGCAAGACCATTGAACAGACATCGGTATTCATGTACTGAAATTCAGCCAGTTCCTGCTGAACCAGCAGACTTTCAGTATGTGTGTACGGAGCTTAACTAAAGGCTAAATGTTCTGTTTTAGACAATCTGTCTGCACTCTCATTAGGGTGATTCCCTCTCTAAATTGTCCTGGTGACAATACCAACCAGGGGTGGACTGACCATTCGAGCACTCGGGCACTGCCCGAGGGCCCGGGGTCAGTAGGGGGACCCATGAAATGCCCCTGGTACCTTTTATTGGCTTTTTTTGGGTGTGCTTTGAGTGTGGACAAGGGCACAGGGGCCCCATGATCCCCTATTGCCCAGGGGCCCCATGAGTTGTCAGTCCACCCCTGATGCCAACATTTTAACTTGGTCACCTAACAGGTGTAGAGGGGAAATTTTTCAATGGAGAGCACTTCTAGTTCTGGTGACTGCCAGGGATCTCCCTCACTTTGGAAGTATTTTCTCTCACTTCCTGTTGTGGCTATGACCCTCCCTCTGCTCTATCCAAAAAAAAAAAATGTTTTCAGCTCTACTTCAAAGTAGAAGGGAACCCTAACTATAACTATTCCTAAAAATGTTCACACCCCCCCGACTATCCTGCCTAACATGTATAAAAAAGGTCTGTGTACTTACTTATTATCAGTCCACTCTGGACCAATGCGTCATCCTGCAATTCTGTAAGGGAACACTCAACAACAGCTGTGATTTCTGGAAGCCCTGCTGTCACTTATAGGATCATGTGACCAGACTGGAGCCGATCAAAAATAGGTAATTGAAAACATTTTTATAGGTTAGGCAGAATAGGTAAGAAGGAGGAGGGGCAAGAAATTTTTAAGATTAGGTTTAGTTTGGCTTTTCTTCCACTTTAACAGCTTTCACGCCGCCCTACAAAAGAAATACTACTACAGGGCGGTAGGAGTGCACAAAATCACGTATATATATGTGAGTATGCATTTCTGGGTAGGGGGAAGTTGTTTCCAAGTTGTGGAAACATCTCAAGGATGATCAGTGGGAACAGGATGCACCAGAGCTCAATTTTGAGTGTCATGGCAAAGGCTGTGAATACTTATTTACATGTTTTTTTTTTTTAGTTAGTTTTTTTTTTTTTTTAATAAATTGCAAAGATTTCAAAACAAACTTCTTTCACGTTGTCATTATGGGGTATTGTTTGTAGAATGTTGAGCTAAAAAAATGAATTTAATCCATTTTGGATTAAGGCTGTAACCAGGGGCGGACTGTCAACTCATGGGTCCTCTGGGCAAAACTCAAAAAAGCCTATGAAAAAGGTACCAGGGGCATCTCATGGGGCCCCCTACTGACCCCGGGCCCTCGGGCAGTGCTCGAGTTTCCAAATGGTCAGTTCGCCCCTGGCTGTAACATAACAAACTGTGGCAAATGTTAAGCACTGCAAATACTTTCTGGATGCACTGTATGTCTGTGTCTTTAGCATTTAACACTTCCAGAAGTGTTATATACCCGTGTCCACTCTCACGCTCCTTGGTTCCTTCCTCCAAACCCCTATGTCACTACAGGACTCAGCAATGACCTAGGAGTCTGAAGGAGGAACCACAGCATAATGTGGGGAACACAAGCATTAAATATTTTTGGATGTGTTGAATGTCAAATACACTGACAGAGGCATGGAGAAGGTGGGTAGTTGATGCAAACTATATACTACCTCTTCCTGTACAGAGAGCTAATGTTGGACCTCCTTAGAGACCTGACACGATAACAGAAGGAATTTGAAGAGCCTTGCTATAGCCATATCAGTGAAACAGTATTTCTGAATGATTACTATGGTTGTTTGCACATCGCCATTGTACTCTGCACTGCCCTATTAAATAATGTGAACATGTTTAGTAACAGAAGGAGCGTTGATCATTCTGACATAAAAGAGATGTGAGCTGTCGAATTCTAGCCTGTTTCTGTGTGGAGAAGCCACACAGTTTTATTAAATTATTTATTGCCTTAAAAACAAGACACAAACACCAATGCCCACAGCTCTGCATTTTGCTCCTAGGCTGCAAGATTTTCTCTGTAGTGATGACAGTTCAAAGGGAAAAGAAAAAGGCCCTTAGTGGTTTTGTTTTTATACTTGGCTGACTGATTTTTTTTTGTACACAAGTTCTGCATTGAACAGCTGGCACCATGGTATCTTACATGAAAGCTTTCATGCAGCAGGAAGATCATTCCTGCGTATTTCTACAGTATATGAAATAACCACAAATGTCTTTTCTGTGCTCACAGCATTATCAGTTTTATTCAACCCCCAAGTGACATTCAATCTTAGTACTTTAGTACAGCATGACCCTTTTACAGTTATAACAGCTTTTACTTCAACGTGGAAGCATAGCCTTGAAACAAGTGTCTTGCAGCGATCTACGGGTATCTTCGCCCATTCTTCATGGGCAAAGGCCTCCAGTTGTTCAGTCACATTCTTAGGCTTGCGCACTGCAACTGCTTTCTTTAAGTCCCACCAGAGGTTCTCAATCGGTCATTAAGTCTGGTGACTGCGATGGCCACTCCAAAATGTTCCAGCCTTTCCTCTGCAACCATGCTCTAGTGGAACTTAGGTATGCTTGGGATCATTCCCTGTTGAAAGGTCCAAACGTCTCCCAAGCCTCAGGTGTGGTGACGGACTGCATCACGTTTCCATCCAATATATCCTCTTGGTACTGAAGAGAATTCATGGTACCTTGCAAACGCTGAAGCTTCCCTGTACCTGCAGAAGCAAAACAGCCCCAAAGCATGATGACCCTCCACCATGCTTCACAGTAGGCAAGGTGTTCTTTTCATCATAGGCCTTGTTCTTTTTATCCTCCTAAACATAGCGTTGATCATGGGCCCAAACAGTTCTAATTTTGTTTCATCAGTCCACAGAACACTATCCCACAACTTTGTAAAAAAATGTTTGTCCACATGGCTTTTGGCATACTGCAGTCGAACTCTTCTTATTCTTTGGAGACAGCAAACAGGGGTACGCCTGGGAGTTCTGGCACGGAGGCCTTCATTTCGCAGTGTGCGTTTTGGCTTAACATAACTGAACTGTCTGTACCCAGCACTGCAAATACTTTCTGGATGCACTGTAGTGTCTTGTCTTTAGTAACACTTCCAAAGTTTTTATACTCCGTGTCCACTCTCACACGGGGACTTCCTCCTCCACTCTACGCTTCAGGACTAGCAATGCCTAGCAGTCGAAGTCCACAGCATAATCTTCTGTTTGAATGATCAAAATGCCACTGACAGGTAGCATTGTTTCAACAGTGCCCTTTTACCTCTTTGAATTTGCGAATGATGCTTCCTAAGGTGTCCTCTTGGATGTTTAACATCTTGCAATCTTCTTATAGCCATTGCTTAGCCTGTGAAGAGAAAATCACCTCTTCTCCTATGTCTTCCTGCACATCATTACTCTTGCACTGCACCTATGTAAATAATGTGAACATGTTTAGTACAACCAGAAGGAGCGTTATCATTCTGCTCGGTTGGACTAAAGAGATGTGAGCTGTAATTCTAGTCCTGTTTTAAAGCCACACAGTTTTATTAAACCTAATTGCCTTAAAAACAAGCACAAACACAATGCCCACAGCTCGGTGACATTTTGCCACAGGCTGCAAGATTTCAATGTACCTGATGGACAGTTCAAAGGGAAAAGAAAAAGGCCCTTAGTGGTTCTGTTTTTCATACTGGCTGACTGTCTTTATTTGAGTACACAAGTTGAATTGAATTGTGGCACCATGAATGAAACCACATGCAGCAGGAAGACCATTCCTACGTATTACATAGTGAAAAATGCTTATGTCATCCCAACTATCTTTTATCAAATTGGGAGGGGCTATACAATCCTTGTAAAATTCATTAGTGAATACTAAATCCAAATGACACATTTAGTCCCTAAACCACATTTGATTTAGCATGGTATAAAAGTATGTATTAACTCTTCAGCTTATGAGGAGATTATTGACTTGTACCTTTTATAACAATAGGAAACAATTTGCTTCCTTGTTTCATTTACTCAAAAAAGATAAGATTCAATCTTACTGGACAGTATGGGGAACAAATAATCTTTTGTGTAAGCCTTTGGCTGACCAGAATCTAGTTTGCATTGGCTGAAACATAATAGTAAGAGTGAACATATGATCAATCGAAGTGCATGGGAGCAAAGATAACAATACTAACAGGTCTATAACATTAATGGTGTGGTAGACACTGATGCAGAGCTATACCATATTTTGTACTCTCCAGTGTTAATAAATGAACCCCCAAATGTATATCAGCTATTCCCACAAAGCCACACTCTCATAAATGTGTGCACAAATATTATAACTAAAAAAAGGTGCAGCGCTTATTTCTTAATCATTATATCTATGTGCACATTCCACTGTGGTAGATTATGAAAGTCAAGATTAATAATCAGCAACCTGGCAGCAATATAAGAATAAACAAAAATAACATGAAATACAATCAAAAGTCTCTCCACAAACAATCTCTTGCTGTACTTTTTTTCACCCAAGAAAATGCTTGTGACCTCTCCTCCATACTTGTTATTTACCATCACCAGATGTGCTCTCACCTGGGATCCATGACCCTACATATCATGTAAGGTCAAAATAGGATTGTGTCCCCTTTAAGTGGGCTTTGTGTCTCCCTTGGTGGTCTTTTCCTGGTTATGGCACTTCCTCAGAGGACAAATTACAATTCCAGAGCCTCCACAGGTTTTCAGGGTTCTTTCTTTTAAAGGCACAATCTCCAGCTCTCTCCTTTGTTTTGCTCTTCCACTCATCCACATATTAGAGATAGACACTGCATAGTGCTTGACTGGTATACTGTTCACTTCTCCCTGAGCTTGACTAAAATAACCACACTGACAATACTAAAAAGATACTTTTAATTGCGTTGAAACTTTATTATTAAAGTATCAGCCACAGCTTGATATCTATGAATAATGAATAATCAACCAATAAAACACATCTAACACCAAATCCCTTTTTAGCAGTGCTGAGTGGCGTATCTCCACTTTTTTTCCTTAGCAGGACCTGATTCAGCCCCCAGCCATCCAGGTTAGGCTCAGGGGCTTTCTTGGGCCTCCTGCTACCAATTTCACTGCCTCTACCAGTCACCAGCCCGCAAAAGGGATAAATGCCAGCTGTGACAAAAATATCACGTGACAATAAATATACTGGATTGGAACCAATAATAACAAGGTGTCACTGAATTAACCACTTTGTAGTTATTTATTCTTCGTCCTGCAATAAAAAAACTGCACACCTTTTTTTTTTTTTTAATTTATGTATGTATTCTCTCTTTTTTTAAATTATTTAATATATTAATTTTCTTATTTCATTATAAAAGTCATAAGCAAAGCCATAACAACAAAACCCAGGAACAAAAACTTGGGGAGGGTGAGTGGGGACTTCTTTCTTCATGGAAGGGCACCAACTGAGTGACCAGTATGTCACGGGGCTCAACGTGATACAGGAGTCTCCTCCTTTTTTTTCCTCCTTCCAATAATCTGCAACCACAATCTAAATCATGCACCTTCCCCATTCTGTCCCTCTGCCATCACTTAACCCCTTTATTACCCTACAGACTAGTCCGAAGGGACCGTCCCCAGTTATGATGCCTGCTGTGTTTATAACACAGGTCATTGCTTTATCTTTGTTAAGCTTTATTCACTCACTCCCATACATAAGAAAACAACTCACATTAAAAAAAGGTGTTCTCATGCACCAAAGTTTCACAAGCATACGTATCAGCACAAGTCTCCTGTTAGATAAACGCAGTCTTTTTTTAGAAATACAGATCTCTGTCCTCTTTCCGAGCATAATGATATCATCCAGCTCGCCACGCTTCTATGCAGTTTGTCACTGTATCATGTATCTTTATCAGGGATTGTTTGGAGGACTCACCTATTAGCTTTGTATACTTTAGATCCAGTACCATTTTGTTGTAGAAAGCACAGTGCAGTATAAAAAATACTTTTATTAAAACCATCAGTATTGCACTCACATGGGTAGACAGGTAGAGTGCTTGTAGTCATAAACAGGCCTCAGTATATGGATCCAGAAGCCCATCAATAGCGGTGTGGAGGATGGAGACCAAACAGGGGTGAGCAACAAACCGCAAACAAACACTGCTGTAGCAGATCATGACAGGCGTGGAACCAGAAGTGACGTCTGAACCACAGAACACACGTCCGGATGTGAAGTCGGTGCAGGGAGGATCCCAGCCCTGGATTACCTATGTGACACATTTTGGCGCACCAATCAGCTCCTTTCTCAAAACTTTTTAGCATATTCTTTTAGTACACTTCCCTTTTCTTTGCTGGGTGTCATTTTGTTGTAGATCCACTGCGTCTGCCATATTTCCCGTGTTTCCATTCACCTAATCTATAAGGCAACAGGTTTTGGTCACCATTTTATTGGAGGTAGAC